CTCTTAAAAGCTGACTCGAGACTTAGTTTTTAAGAGCTATCTAGCTTCCTGCGTGAATTTTAAGTTCCATTTAAACCTTGTCTTACCGAGAGCACTCAACTCTTGGTAATTCATAGCAAAAATAATTTAAACATGACGTACAACCATCCAAAACCTATTATAACACACATCTGATCTACTCCTAGCTACAAACACACAAGAAATGCGCTCCAGCCACTCACAAGTACGAAACCTCTGTGCAATTTCTTCAACCTTAGATATTGAATCATAAGGTTTATTATTCGTCACTAAAACAAGCTTATTGAGCACAAAAGGAAAAGTAAAAAGTAAAAACCATCTCTTTTGCTCAAATTAAGACACATTTTCTGAGCAATTTTATGGTTCAAGACTGCATAACAAGCACAATTTTACAGAAAATTACTCCTCAGAAATATTTGCAAAAAAAAATTATTGTTTGAAATTAATCGCAGCTTTAGAGCTACAAATCATGTGATTATAAGGAGGGCATTTAAGTATAAAATCTAATATTAGCTTGACTAAACGATAATGTTGGCTCTTACGTCTATAAAATATTTATTAATGGATAGATTCATTTTAACATCAAGAAGACTATTACTCTGCAAAGTAATGAACATCACATAAAATTTATTGAAACATTAATTGATGCTGCAACATAGTATTGTGCCACATTAGAATGTAATTGTTTAAATTGTACACATGCAAAGCTGTTTGCTAAATTATTGCATAAAGGTGTGATATCACACATTATAAAATTAATTTGATTATCAAAAAAAAATGGAGTGTTCATTAATATTGGTGTAATGAAACTGACTTCCTTATAACCATTTAAGTAAACAACAATTTAAGTGCCCAAAATAATTCCTCATTGCCTAGTCCATGAGTCATTTAAATTTATTTTTAATGTCCATGAAAAAAAGAATCTTTTCAGAATTCAATTTGAGGAAAAATATGCTTTTGTGCTGCTTCTTCTTTCAAATTAATTCAATGCTTATTTTTCTACGTATTTAGCATGATTTGCCAACAATTTTTTTCTTTACAAAAAGGAATTTCAGCTTCTTTAATATTCACGAAATGTGTTACGATACAGGCAGGCAATCGATATATGTGCGATTATTTTATGAAATAAAGAGAAATAAGACATTTCTTCACATTCATCAATTGTTTCGTAGTCGAGCTCAATGAATTTTTTTTATATATATTCAAGAAGTGACGAAGAAGAAGAACAAAAAAAGCTGTTTATAAAATAATTCCTTTATTTTTTTTTGTCTCTGAATTGATAAATTTTATAAATATGATTTATTCATGAGCGTGGCTAAAATTTGAATACTGTTAACTTGAGGGTTTTAAATTAATAAATTAAATAAACGCAAGCATATATGCACGTCAAGTATCATTCAGTATCGGTTTCTGGTGATTTGTCTGTGGTCCATAATTATTTGTGGCATGACAATGTCTTGATTAAGTTATTACATAATAGCATGGTCCAAGCAATTTTACGGCCATTCATTTATTAAGTCTAAAGCTTGGAGATAATGGTGTCATGAACCACAGACTGGAAGGAGGTAAGGTTAGGGGTTATTCATAAATAAAGTCAATCAAATTCTCAATTCTGGTTCCATAATTTTTTTCTTAAAAACAAATGTTATATAACCCCCACCAAAGTTGGATATCATTTATGAACGAACTCTTGTGAATCTAACATCATGAGGTGGTTTTTCTTAAAAGTTATAGCTAAAGTGTTCATTGGAAATTTAGCGTAGGTCATTAGGTAGCGTTTGTGATGTGCCTAGGATAAAATATTGAAATTTCAGCTGGGATAATTCACAAAAATCGACCACAGCTTCAGCGAGTTTCTAATTTTCTATCTTCTTAAACGTTCTTGTCTAAGTTGAATAGCTACATATGATTTGAGTTAAATCTAGACCAAATCTTGTCTTGAGTACATTGCACTACCTTAGAATCTAAGTTCTGAGCAAATACATTAAGAAGTTTATAGAAATGAAACTGAATGGGTAATTAAGATACTGATAATAAATTTCCCAACTTTGTAATCAAGGAAATAATCAGTTCATCAAAGATAAGAGTCATTAAGACAATGACTTTGAGTGACTCACTTTATTGGTGATGTGTTAGGAAATTTCCTGGTTACAACTCATTCTTCTATGTATTACTTTAGACTTATCTTCTAAGCATTGGTCTCTGTCAATTAGTTTTAAGGTAATTTAGGGTACGCTGACTTGAAATTGATGATCTGTTGACTTAAATCTGGGATTTAAATGAAAATTGACTATGACTAAGGTTGGGTACGCTGAGATGCTCCATTATGGACTGGGTAATGGAATTTTCTGAAAAGTATCAAGTTCCTAAATCTAAAGTGGCTCCACAGCTAATTCAAATGACCAACTTTTCTCTCAAATTTTTGCTAATATTAACGCAACAAAAATCGTAAATTGAGGCAACCAAAAATATTTTCTTACAAATTATTTGTCCACATTTTTAATTTATTATTTTGACCACAATATCATTTCTCTATATTGCGCCTAAATATATACAATATTATTAATAATATTTATAATAAAAAAATATAAAATAAATTTCTTTTGGCAATACACAGCGAAAGACATAATACATGCAGCTTTAAGTTTAAGATTGTTGAGATCGCCAATGAAGTTGTTGAATAAAGAGAGACAAAAAAAAGTATAAAGTAATAGATATGTTTGCGTGCTTGACTTCAATATGAATATATATTTCTTTCTGTTAAATCAAACTGGAATTGCGAGTTTTTATTTTGGCAATCACACTAAGAATTCATATCTCCTACTAGGTTTTTGAAATGTATAGACAAACTATCTTGATTTGCATACCTGTCTATACAGTATTGTATTTTACTGTGTGTAATGTGTCGAGGTGTACGATTTTTATTTTTATTTTATTTTTTTTATTTGATTTGTATTTTTTGCATGTACGTATGCTCAATATACAGATGAAAATAAAATAAGGTGCCCATTTATTTATTTATGTAAACAAAAAAAGTAACTGGAATGCCTTGACTTGACATCGAATCTAGAAATTAACGTTTAATAATTTTTTTATTAAATATATTCCTGCTTTTATAGTAAAAATAGAATTAAAAACAGATGCAAGAGAATCATTAGTGGGTTTGTGGTCTGTTTTTTTTTTGGATGTTGAAGATGATGATAAATAAATTAATTGAATTGGAGTGGATTCAGTTCAATAAAATGTTAATAGTTATTTAAAGAAAAGATTCTTAATCTCTCAAAAATAAAAGCAAAGTGTCTGCATCTTTAAAAATTTAAGTCAAAAATGATGCAAGATTTCTGCATCTTCATAAATTGAGGGAATGTTTCTGCACTTTTGAAAATTTTAAGTCAAAAAACAAAAAAAGGCAATATTTCTGCATCTCCAAAAATTTAAGTCAAAATTGATGCAAGATTTCTGCTTTTTCATAAATAGAGGCAAAGTTTCCGCATCTTTTAAAAATGGAGGCAATGTTTCTGCATCTCCAAAAAGTCTAAGTCAGATTTAAGGTAAACATTTAACTCTACAAAATGAATGAAGCAAAAGTTTCGCATCTTAAAAAATAATGAAGCAAAAGTTTCGCATCTCAAAAAATAATGAAGCAAAATTTTCGCATCTGAAAAAATAATTAAACCACTAATTTTGATTCATTAAAATTTTCTAACTCGAATGATTCGCGTGTATTCTCTTGAAGCATCCCACAATCTCATCCCCACACGACTAGAAGCACAGCAATTTTTCTATTTACGCAAAATATGATATCATTGGCATGAGATAATTAGATATTTATTCTTCAATATTTATTTATGTTAATAATCTAAGATATTTTTGAAATTCTATCATCCGCGACTTTGTATCACATTGAAGTGCTATAAATTAATTAAAAAGTCACGATATATTGGATTGCATGTTTAATATTGATAAGGCTGGAACATAAGAAGAAAAGGAATAAAGAAAATTATGAAGAATCACACACAGTGTGTGCAGAGATTCTGAGAAAAAGATAATCGTTGTACTGACAAATAGCATTAAATTGATCTCGAGACTTTTTCTTCTTAAACCGTTCTTATTATTTCAATATCGTTTCAAGTGTAAAGCATGTACATGGGACTTAGGGGGGCTTTTCTTCTGAATGCAATTTTGAAGATGTCAAAATTTTTAAAAAATTTGAAAAAATAACCCAAAAAGATAAAAAAAATTTGTCAATAAAGCTACCGAAATGCACCCCCTAGCGCCGTCCCATGTCAAGAAATATTAAAATATAAAGAATGAATTTCATATGCTGTTAAGACAGAGCGAGTAAAAGCAACAACAACAGCATAAATTTCTTAATAAGTATAAGAGATATGTGTATATTACAATTTCGAAGGGAATGAGTTAGTATGTATGTGCCATACACCTGCAGTTACACCATACACAAGCTTATGACAAGAAATCTTCTGTTTTTATATTTTTTCTTCTTACACTCATCGCCTCATGTTTCTTTAAGACATTTTTAGATTTCTTTTTACACTTTCAACGCACACAGCCATAGGCTCGCTTGTTGCTTCAATGTATCTCAATAGGCACATTTGAATGTATGATAAAATTTTAATCGTATTTCGAGTTTTTAAAATACAATCGAAGTTTTTCAGTTTAGTTTTAGTAAAACAGTGAATAAGGCTGGTTGCTAGTGCAATATTTTATTTTATTTTTCTTAAACATTTCAAAATTTTTATATTTTGAAAGACATTTTACAGAAAAAAAATATTTTTTTTTAATTTCTTCTTAATAAATTTTCATTTCTTGAAAATCAAACTGTAAAAAAAAATTATTCTTAATTAAACTTAAAGAACTTGTAAACTTGTAAATTTGTCGACCTTACAATTTCAAAAAAAAGCTAGAGTTATAATTGAAATAAAGAATATTATTACATTTACGTATAGTTAATGTATAAACGATAGACGAGTGTGTGTAGCTTTTAGAGGCAAAATTTATCGCAAAAAACCAGAACGTTTTTTTTCCACATTAAATTTTGCAATCGAAAATATAAAAAAAAAAAAACATCGAACTAAGCAAAAAAAAATGTAAAACAGAAAATTGTGTACTTAGCTAGTGAAATAGATGAGAACTGAAAATTGTGTGACTAATTGAAAGAATCAAAAAGAAGAAATTTCATTTCGATACAGATTTTTTTCTCAGACAGACTCTCGCTCTGCCCGTTGTGTTTGTAAATATATGATCGTAATTATCATCTAAAATAATAGTGATGTGTAGTAACAGTGAATACAGATTATTGAGTGTTTTCTGATTGACCACAAAAAAAAAAATAAATATTAAAGTCGGTAGAAAAAAATAACATAAAAGAGAGTAAAGAACTTCTTTGAAATAAGATAATAGTAGCGAGTAGTAAGAAGAAGTAGAAAACAAGAGTAAAAGAGATAATCGTGAATGTACATATGTGTAAACTGTTCATACAATTTGAATAAAAAATAAATCGAAAGAGTATCATTACCGCTGTTTTTATCCCGAGAAGCAGATATAATTCAAGTTCGGTCCACAACAACAACAGCAACAGTGAGTTTCATTAACAAATATTTTTATATAAATAAATTTTTGCAGGTATAAAAATAGTTGATATCTTTTTTTAAAAAAATAAATTTCTTTTCAACACTTCTTCTATTTTATATTTCGGTTGTATTGTGAGACATACTCATTGTTGGATAAAGCAAAATAAAATAATAATAGTAATATAATTTTTTTATTCAAAACAGCAGTGTAAAGAAAAAAAAATTCCTTTCCACACAAAAACATTTTTTTGTGAAAGTTGCGAGTCGTTGAGTAATAAATTTTTTATTTATATATATTTGTATACTCATTCCTTCATATTAATTTTTTTTTTGTTTCTGTGTCCATGAATTCATGAGCTTTCTTCGCAGCGCTCTTCAAAGTGGAGAAATAATTTGTACGAATTTTTTTTATTTTTTTTTTGGACATGTGAATTGGTAGCGCATTTTATGGCCAAAAACTAACTGTATGCGTTGTGCAAAAATGAAAATGATATCAAGATTGCGATGTTATGTGCGAACAAAATAAATCAGAAGTGTTGTGGTTGAATTGACTACGGTCTTATGACTTTGACTTTCAAATATACTTCAAGATTTGATTCATTGATTTCTATGAATCTGATATTTTGTCAATTTGAATGAAGTTTTAATAGCAACTAGGCTTGCAGATTTGAAATCCATAGATGATGGCCTAGGTGATACACTGAGCCGATAAAGTTGATATTGACAATGATTTTTGGTTCAATGAGAAAATTAGGTCTCTAGAGGAATAAGCATGTCCTTTAACTAAAGGTCCCTTTCAGTTCTTTAAAAACTATTGGTTTGGGAATTTAAAGATCTTACTAGAACTCTGAAGACATTTCTTTGAATTGCCACCGTGCCATTTTTGATCGCTGTTTGACAATTTTGGGTCTAAGTTTGATATATTAAAGCTGAGTCTTTAAAGTAAACCCCATCAAAAAAATATACAACTATAAAAAACTATTCCTCCAGCTGAAAGAGTCGATTCGACGCGACTCCATTTAAAATCCATGTAAATTACAAGCTACATGACAAACTGATCATGCAGTTTCCCATTTCCTTCACAAAATCACGTTGAAATATTTTTGGAACATTTTATTTTTGCGGAGAGAACGAAAATATCATCACAAGATCAATATACTTGTGAAAATAGCTGCTTATAAGAATGAACAAATTTGTGTGCCTTTTGTTTTTCTTTTTATCTTCCATTTTTTCTGCGAATGTGATGACTAAAAACACAAATAAATAGAAAAATAATAAAGATAAGGCACACGGCAGTTTTTTTTTCTAGTCATCACCACGTGAATTTTAATTCCTTAGCTTTAAATGTGACTTTACGTTTGTTGTCACACATTTCTCTGAAATGAGGCTCCACGCTTGTTATAAATGATCGCCTATTAAAGCTCTTGCGCGCGCTAAAAACTCAAAAATTAGCTAAGAATATTCAATTGACGATGCCAAGCCCTTAATTAACTTCTAGCTCTATGTAAATTTAACCTTTATTGCTTCTTCTCTCCTCATTTCTTCTCTTCAGTTGCGTTTTATTTATAACTTCGTCTTCATCTTCTTGGAGGCACCCATTTAGCCATAAAAAATGTATATTCCATGTCATATTATGTACATTCCATCGAATACTCTTTAACAAAAAAAAAATATTGTTGTATATTTTGTATTAGTCAATGATTTAAATAATACAAAAAAAATATATGTATGAAGTCGACCCACTTGGAATCTTAAAGACATGAATGTTCAAAACTGTCAGTTTGTTGTCTTTTTAATTTTTATTTTCCTTTATTTCGTCGGTGAAGACGACAAGCGAAAGAAGAAACATTTTCATCAGTTATTTTCGCGTCAATTACAACGAGATTGTACCTGAATGGATGTACAAATTTTCGAGAATTGGCATGTTTAACCGGGCTATTCTACAAGATTAAAATGAAAGAAATTGAAGATAGTCGTACGGATGTTTGACTTATGTGAATTTAAATCTTTTGACAGCATTCATGATGACTGTGAGTTGCGTATCCAAAGCGCATTTTGATGCATGACTGAAATGTATCAGCAATAAAAATTCAAGTAATTCAATATTGTATAAGCTTACGCTTAGCTTCTAGCTTGTTAATGTTCGAGAGCCACTAATACCTCTTGATTGCGGCTTGTGAAAATTTATAGCTATCAAAAGTTTCTTTGTGGTTGAAAAGAAGGTTAAGTACTGTAGCATAACAGTCATGAGAATTTCAAGAGAGCTATAGATCGATTGGAATTATTGGATTTGAATTGAATTAAATTTTATGGATTTATAAATGGTTATCCTACTGAAATGGGGCATTGTGGATATGCGATTGTCATATTTGTGTCAAAAAATGTAGGATTAAGAAGCATGGAATATGCTCTTTTATGCTTTCTCTGTATTTAAAGCAGAGATTGAAATTTCTGGAATTCGACGGTTCCAATATGTTGAAAAATTTAAATATTGTACGTCATTTGCTATCCTCCAATCCAATCCAAAAGTATTTCGATCACACAGTTAAGCAATCGATAAAAATCTTCATACGGTACCCAATTAATATTTCAAACCATAACCAATAAAAATTATCAATATCCATAAAAGGAAAGAAAAATTCCAGAAACTCTACTTCCAATCCAGAATCAAGTCAATTACAAGCAAATTTTATCATGCAATTCTAATCTCAATCTGAATCTCCACAGTAAAGCCAGCAAGACATTACAATAACCAGCAATTTTTACGACCTGATTAAATTGCAAATTTTGTTAAAAATTTCACCTCAAACTGAAAAGCTTCCTACATGGCTAAGTTCCATAATTAGAACTTTTAAATCAAATACTTTTCACTTTACGTTCCTAATAGTCATTCATTATTTGCATAAATTACATAAAACAGTAATTGGAGGAAGAAAAAAAATATTATGTATACATAACTCTAACTGATTAAGTGCTCTAATTCGCGCTCACATGCTGCTTATAGTGTTTAAGCTGCCTATGCAGTTTATGATTTACGCACAACACCGTTTAATGAAAAAAAAATTGTATGAATGGAGGTGGATGGAAGTAACAAAAAGCCAAGAAGCATGTGCATCAAGTGCGCGCAATAGAACCGCAAAACTATTGAAAAATATATTGTAAATAAACCATGTTGTTCATCTTTGTTTATCATCGACTGAATCTACTGAAAATAGAGATGCCGTTTCACGTTGTTGAAAGGCGTAATTGTGGCATGATGCCCATTCCACGTGATGAATGCGATTAGTTGATTAACATTATCTGTCGTTTTACATCGAACAACAAAACTCTTTTTTTTTGTATTGTTGCTGTTTGATGCACTTGATCATTAACTCGATCATTTACAGTTTTCAATCAAAATAGCTTAGTTCTGAGGTTCTTTTGTGCGCGAGTGTTTGATATTCTAAATTAATTTTGTTTCTGGATTTTTTTTTTCGTAAGTTTCTCATTTCTTTTTTTTTCTTGACGCCCATTTTCGATTAAAATTTCTTGAATTTTCTCTCTTGTTGCTGTTAATGTGAGACATTCGTTCTGAAATTCCAATTTTCGTGTATTTAAAAAAATTATTTTGTAGATAGCTGCGTGTTAATTTATAGACTCACAAAAGTGGAAATGTGTGAGACCTGCCCAATTGAATTTGGAGTCGAGATGGCATCAATGACCGAGGGGGTAGAGTAATTTATCTTTTTTTCTGTAAACAATAAATCTCTTCCAGTGTTTATGCACAAAGTGCTCTAAATTCATCAAATACTCAACTCACGTCTGTGTCTCTCTTTCACTCAATGCTTTTGGTGACACTGATATACAAATATTTAGATAAAATTTTACATTATGCAAATGAATATTCGAGTTATGTTTGTTTCGCTGGTATGTTAATGCTCTTTTGTGAATGATTTTTTTGAAAACTGTAAGTGCTACTAATTCCTGTTTTCACTAATGCAGCATTCCGTGCATTTAATCCCTAGGAAATTGACGAGAATAATGTAAATGGAACCATTATTTACCTTTATATGGGATGACTATCTAGATTTTAGACAGTATAGTAGCTTAATATACTTGCTTTACTTGGTTTACTTTTGTGTCTAGTGCCATAAAATTGATCAATGTTTAAAACAGTTTAAAATTCATAGTTCTATTGTGTATCACTGAGTAAAACCTCTATAAACTTCTAATCTGGACGCCCTTGCCACAATTTCCTTAGTAAATAGTCCACAATTTTCTACTTTCTACTCCCATCAAACATAGCCAAGAAGAAGAATTTACCTCAATATTTTTTTTTACATTCCCCAAAGGCATTCCTCCTATTGTTCTATTATTCTACTATGAGGTGGTCAATGCCCATTTTATCATCATTAACTTTCCATACCATTTGTCTTCTTCTTATTCTCCATTATCTCCATTCCCTAGAATTGTAATTGATTAGGTAATAAATATGAAAAAGATAAATTTTCAGCTATGTCGAGCAAAGAATGAATGAAAAATAACAACAAGTCAAGATCAACTGGGCTTAACAATAACAACAAGTCCACACGTCATACGTTTTAAAAGAATTCCAGAAAACAAGCGATAGAAGCAAACCTGTCAGATTCAGAAGAAGTTTATTTTTTTACGTAATTATTATTCCAACGTAGTCAATCCGGTTCTTAAATGCTGTGATGAAAAATACTTTTTTTTTCATACCGCGGGAGAATTCTTCTCCTCTTGGATATCCATAAAAAGCTTAATCGAAATGAACTGTTTTGTTGGATATGAACGCGTGTATGGTTAACAAAATATTATACCAATAGAAATATCCTCAGAAGGTTTACCGCACCGTAGCTGATGCGAAGCTAATCAAAAACTGATTACTTATAAATTCCATTTGATAGTTTGTTGTGAAACATTTCAACTTCTAGTTTTATTTTATATTCTTTTATGTTAATTTGAAACATGTGTGATTTTATTATATATCGATGCATTAGTTCAATC